CTGTTACAAAGTGCATACGTTTCCATAATCATTTTAAATAGGAAAAATCACTTTGCTGCGTCCAGGGTAGAACACCTCCTTTAATCTGCAGCAATTTCCTGTATATCGATCATTTCCGCACATATAAATGATCCCATTGTCAGGAGCTTGTATTAAAATAACCTGCAATTATTTTAAATAAATCCTCGAGAACACGCGATGATATAAAAGAAATTATGTTTCTATCTGTTTAATATTTAAAAAAAAACACCCTGAAACCTGACATGGGGGATTAATGTTGCAATAACAGGCACAATTCGCTCAAGTCATTTAATGGAGTAGTTACTGCGTGTGATTATTACGGCATTTGCGAAAACAGAGCAGCAAACAACTTGAAATGAAATGCAATAGTAACAACAGTAAAACAATAAGGCCTTAATGCTTCTGTATTGTGTCCACAGCGGCTAGAAGTGAATGAACGCTTACTTAAACAATTTATCGAGCTGCGACTTTAACAGAAATTAAAGCGGTATTATGCTGCATTGAATTATATTTCGGCGGCTTTTCCAACAAGAGACCAGAGATCTTACTTAGCTATTCCTGAAGACACGGAAAGCATTTTATCCAGGGTTAGCTAAAGAAAGATTAAAAGCACAGGTTTGGAAGTCTGAGCCCTTATTACCTTAATAACTAAATAAGTAAACATTAACCGTAATCAAAGATATTTAAAACGGTGACGGTGCACGCTAAGGCCATGGAGGCTTGGATTAAATCCCATCATCAGTGTCACTCATACTATATTTCAGCAGGCTTGCAGTCATTTTAATAGGAAGATAGCATTAATGGCTTGAGCGTTTTCCTGCCATACACTCCTGGGCCTGCGCCTTCATTTTGGAGCATGCACAGGCCTGAGGGGGTAACAGTAGCTACAATTGTCCAGATCTGTCTCTGCAGGTTGTGCTGCGCTGATAAAGATCCAACTCTATAATCCTGATTCATAGTGAATCTTTACCTATCAGATGCTTCCTGGGCTCTCCAGCAGCCCGTGATTGACAGTGATTATCTCAAACGCAGGCCGTATCTCTGCCATCACCGTGGCCGTGTCAGGGGGGTTTTAGGTGAGGATGTTGGATCAAATACAGCAGCAAACAGCTGACAAGGAAGGTGCACAGTAGCAGAGGCGCGTGTAGGAAACACCATTGAATTAAGATTTGCAGATAAGGAATCTTTTTTTTCCCTCCCTCTCCATGTGTCAGAGACAAAATCATTGAGATTTCTCCTCAGCAGCAGCAACAGCAGCACCGGCCTAACCTGCAGAGCACGCTCATGACACGAGTTAGCCGGTGTGAGCTTTGTGTTGAAGAGGCAGCTGAAACACAAACAGCGGGACAACACGGGAAGCATATGGTGCTAGCGATGCAGCAGTTGTTGCTGTCAAAAACATAAATGCTGCTGAACACTGTTACTGCAGGTGCAAATTAGCAACACTGCTAATGTGTTCACCGTATTCGATGTCAGTCTTGTATTTCCTGGTCTAATTGTATGAGGGTTTGCATAATGGCCTTTGTTACAGCACGGCATTAAAAGAAAGATTAATACTGTGCCGCCATATCGACCAGCTATAATTGCAAACACCGATGGCTCACTCGTTTAACATGTTGGCATTCAGCAGGCGGTCATCTGCAGCAGTCTTTGCAATGTGTTCATTTGGAGCATTTATCAGAAGACGTGGCAACACGAGTTGATGCAAATGGTTCGATGAAAAAGAGTTTTCTGAGGTTCGCTTGGCCCTCGAAAGAGGAGAGCTCTGACATATGAGCTGCGAGGAGGCCTGCTGACCATTTGACAGAACAAAGCTCGCGTTTGTGAGACAGAAATGGAAGGAAGGGTTGGAAGGGAGTACCTACTTCTTCGTCTTCCTGTTCACAATAGCAGGGCAGGTCCACGTGTGTTAAAAAGCTACTTAAATTCTCAGTGTCGTTCACGGTGTGGCTCTAAGCACTAAGGTTTTCTTCCCAAATTTAGAAAACCTGAAAGACGAGTCCAAACTGCTTTTACTGTGTGGGTCTGTGAATACAGTATGTGATATTTTTAAAATTCATGATGTGTGTACAATTGTGTGTGTGTATTGGATTTGTGCTTCTCTGTAGTCCTACCACGTAGTGCTGCAAGCTCACGAGCTCGGGAGTATTACCGTGAGTTGCGTGTGAGGCAGGTTACTCAGCCTGTCTGCAACCAGTGAACCTGCTCTGAAACCGTATACCTGCGCTGAAAACAGGAGTCGCCATTTCAGCGCTGTCTGTTTGGATCAGTGTTCCCTGTGGCACTATGCCCTCTTTGAGAGCTCCTCTGTTGGGGATCTATTCCTTAGCCCCTGACTCTATCCCTCTGTTGGCACAATGGCCCCTTTGTACCTACATATACTACTGCTGTGGGACCTTGCCTCGTAGTTTTTGGCAATTATACACAATCCCACTCCATCTATCCCCTCGTTGCCGCTTCATTGACGAGAAATGCAATTGGATCGAGGAGAAATGCGGTGAAACGGAGACCCGGGAAGAGGCTTGCAGGAATTAGATTGTGGCGCTGATAAGTTCCATATAGAGCAAGTAAACATGTTCTTATCTTGTTATCCAGCTTACACATTAACACATGGCGCATGTGGAGGAGGGTTTAAAAGGATAAATCAAATTCTAATCATTCTGTTTGGCTTTTTCCGCTAGCTGCTCTTTGTCTCTATTTCAGTTTCTCATCGTGCAAAGGACCCCAGCCCACATGCAAGAACAATGGAGGGGGGTCAGAAGTGCTAGCTATTTTCCTACACCTGCTGAATGCTACAGAAATGAGTGCACAGTGATTATGTGCCCTAATGTGTGGTGTTTAAAGAGTGGTTTCCCGCAGCAGAGTTAAATGGTGGTGCCCTCTGTGAAGTATTAATGATGTGGATGGATGAATCAGGTCGGCACAAACCTGTTGACGGCAGCCGTGGCGCTCTCTTAAAGCTGCACCCAGACATCAGGCTTAACCGCTTGGCAAATTGGACATGCTTGTTGGCTGTAGCTCCAATTTATGTGCACTCTCTATTGCAGTTAGTCCATCTTCATTATTGAAATGGCCTCTCGTCAGGTCTTGACAGAGTGGTGGAGATGGTAAAGGGTGGAGTGGTGGGGGCACATACAGAAGAATCATGAATAATGTGGAAAATAAACACATTTGAAGCACTGGCGCTGGCTGGCAGAAGGGGTGTTGGGAGTGTTGTTAAATGCCTGGCTTTCATTTTCTCTCTGCTCCTCTCTCCCTCTCTCCATGTGATTGTATGTGCAGCCTCTGCCAGTGGATGTTGATGCTGTGGATCCTCAGCCTTGGGGCTTTATCTAACACACATGCAACCGAGCATAAACACAGACACACACACACAAGCAGCTCTCAGTGCTGAACTCTAGCAGCACCTCTGTGGCTTGACCAGCATCCCAGCTGTGTGTTGTGTCACAGCCATGCTGGAGACACATTGCTCGGTGGCCACAGCCTATATTTAATAGGTTGCTGTTGTGGCTTCGCTATTCACCTCGGAATGGTTGCATTGGTGATGGCCGATAAAGCTGAGCCCAGCTCAACCGCGTCATCCCGTTTGGTGGCGATATCCGCTTCCAACTCGCGCATTGTTGCAGGCGACACGTTTATTGCCGGATGTCAAATTTCAGCTCCTCGGTGAGGCGAATTGATAGGAGATGGCCTCAAAACCATTTCGTAGCTCTGTAAATGTACACTTAAGCCCAGGCTTTGGGTATAACAGTGCTTCTCTTTGAAGAGAAGAACAGGATCTAACTGAGTCTACCTACAGGGTCCCTGTACCTGCTGCACACATGAGTAGATGTGATGGCTCATGAGGTAATTACCCACTGAGCTGGTCTGTAAGCTGAAGCAGGGGTTCCCTTCAGGTAGCGCTCTCGCTCAGGTCAGTGAACAGCTAATGACATTTAGAAGAAATAGGATGAAAGAGGTGGCAGTTGGTTGTAGTCAGCCACACACTACCTTTGTCTTATTGTCTGCCGTCTGTCTTAATCTCGCAGCCACCCTTTTCACACCACAAGGAGATCGTGTTATTAGATCCCCTCCCTGGGCTCATTTGTCATCCTGCAGCACCACTCCTCTAGAGGAGGACTGCAGGAGAGGAAAAAAGAAAACAATATAAGCAGGCAGGAGGCCACAACATCAAATGTTCATCATTTACCAGCCCAGAGTCTCTCTTATCGCCATTATTCTTTCACAATCACAGCAGATTAATATGCTTTCTTTTTGTTGCCCCTCTTACTGTGTCTATTTTTAAAAGGCCGACAAACTTCAACCTCTCTTCTCTCCTCTACCCTTTAACATGTTATTTTGTATTACGCCGTACCCGGCCCTCGCACGCGTGTACTCTCAATCATCCCCCACCCCCACTTTTCACCATCACTTGCTACAATAAAAAGTATTGTCAGTGTTCACAGTTTGCTGTCACCGCCTCAGTCACATCTCTTTAATCTCTCCTCTTTGTGCTCCTTCAGATTTCGTGCTGCTGAGGCGCACGAGAGGGAGAGAGTCAGCTAATTACAATAAACAAATATGCTCAGAGCCGCCTATGTAAGGTTGGCATAGGTTAACAACTCTGCTATAAATGTTAAATGAAGCTTAAAATAGGATCGTATGGCATACAGTTGCCATAGCGATCCAAGCTGCGATTCTTTGTGTACTTTCGTGGTTGGCAAAGTTTAAATTAATCTTAGACACGAATCTGTGATACGGAGAAGAAATGAGTGATTGTTTGATGCCCCAAGGGCCTGTTTGATGCCTCTATCGCGTTTGGAGCTTTTTCTTGAACCGCCACAACTTTGTTTGTCTGTGCTTAGCGTCGGTCTTTTGTTGTAATGAAATCTAATGCACTGCCGTTGATGCCTTTCTGCCTCAGACGCATGGCGGTCGCCCTTTTTTACCGATTGCCTTCTTACTCACGTCTCTTTCTATTTCTCTTTGTCTTTCAACAGGTGGGACAGTCAAAATGATGCGTGGGTGGTGCAGCGTTGAGCCGTATTGATGGATGTGTTAACAGACAGCAGTCTCACATTGATTGTGAAGACTTCAGAACCCGAGAATCCAAATGCAGTGGAGAGCACAGGTAACTATTCAGGTATAGCTCGTTAACACCATGTTTTTTGTGTTTTTTTTAAGTAACTCACATGAATGCTAATTTTGCTCTTTATTTCTCAGCTTTAAACATTTAGAGAAACTTGGTTGCAGAAGAGAGTTTTTTTTTAATTTGCCCAAGAATATTTAAGCACTCATTAAAATAAACGAAAGCTTATTAACAACAGTTTCTCTCACAACACATTTAAAACTTTGAAAAGACAATTAGTATTAGCACATAGCACAGAATTAGCTTTCCTTGAATTAGCTTTTCACCCTCAGTTTTAAGCTCTTTTACAAGATATGGGGAGCGTGAAACACATCCTGTGTGTGTGTTTTTTTTTAATGAAAAGTGGAAAAGAATTATTAATTGAAGCTTTTTAAGCTGTTGTTAATCCTCTCTGCTTATGCTTCCACAACGCAGAAATATAAATCTATCTTTTCTCATAAAAAGCTGCAAATATAAAAGTGGGTGGAGCCATTAATTCTCTCACACACATTTATTAGCATCGTGAAAACAAAAGGTCTGCATCATTGTTTTAATAATAACTGTATTGTTATTTTCTTTTCTTGTTATATTTCAGTTTTGGGCTTCTGTTTGTTTTTCTCTGCAAAATCTCAGAAACCGAAACCTTGATTAGTAATTATATATTTGCAGGAAAAAAGGTTGCAAATGCTTTGAAGCTGCTACGATTTCTACACTGCGCATTGTCGTCTGAACTTCATTTACTCTACATAGTTTCACTTAACTCTTTACCCCTTGAAAGCCTACGAGGAGTAACCCTTGAAGTTCCTGTCTGACCTGAGTGGTTTCTGTCATATTTCAGGCCTGCCTATATAACGCAATGACTTGTTGGTTCCTAAGAAGTTAGTGAAGGTGGGCCCTGCCTATGCAGCTACCCTTAAAAAAATGGTCTTCAAACCACATCTTTATTGATATAAACTGAAGTGTCAAAAGTCATGAGGAAAGGATTAATCGGTAACACACAAAAACATGCATTTTTGAAAGTAAGGGAATTTCAATAATACAAACTCGCCCTTATGGGGGATAGTCAGATGAGAGTCAGATGTTGTGATTAAGGAACACCTGACTCCAAAGACCGTCTGCAATTTGACGTTGGAGTGCGAGATGGAATCGAGCCTGTCTCCAAATAAAGACAAACATCTGGTTAGTGCCAAATTCTGCCCTCATGAAGAAAGAACCAACTTTCACAGGACTTTAAGAGGACTTTAGGAGGAATGTTATGAAGATGGGCATAACTGTGTCCAAGTCAAGGAATTTTAGGACTTTTGTAGCTTTCCTTGCAAATATCATACCAAGGGCACCAGAAGAGAGACAGCAAAACACCTTCGGAAAGTTATACAATTTGCTAAATTCACTTGTTCCCTGTCCACTATGAAAAACGCACACAATTATTTATGAATTAGTCCATTTCGATTTTGTTTTTTTTACTTTTTGCAACCACATATCAATTTAGAAATCCTGGTATCTCCAAAGGGTTTACAAATGTTTTCTTCTAAAAGGTATATGAGCTACTTTTTGCTGCTGCCTTATTCACAAGAGGTCTCCACAGTTGCTAGCTCCACATGTTTGATTTGGCAGAATTTTTATTTTTGTTTTGCACCAGATGCCTTTTCTGATGGAACCCAAAGGGATCTGCGTCTCTTTCCTGGATCAAACTGGAGAGCTTTCAGTGCTAGGCAAATGTGTAAGCCATTACAATATGGGGTCACTTTTCTTTTAGCTGAATAAATGGTTTTTAAAACCAAATCTAACTCAAAAGAAATCAGATAGCAGTGTAATCTCTTCCTTTTTACTGGACAATAAGCCCTACTGCTGCTGTGCATATTCAGTCATTCACCCACCACCTACTTCTCCCCATAGTTTCTACCAAGCACCACTGATCCTTCGATGAGGTTTATCTCGGTGTTTCAGCTCTGGTCAGCCTCAGTTGGAACTGAGACAGATTATCCCCAGCACTTGCCTGCTCCTTGAGAGGCAGCAAGAGGAAAAGAGAGCAAGAGAGACGAGGAGAGGTGGAATGAGAGCATTAAAAAAAATACAGGAGAGAGTAAAAGCAGCTCCATTGAGCAGGAATAGGGTAGTTCTTTGAGGAGGATGGCCATGAATCATGCCGCAGTTACTCACCACTTATTACGAACATCCTGTACTGGCCGGATTGATCCCCCCCCCCACACACACACACACACACACCCCACCACAACCCCCACTACCATTCACAAAATGTCATATAGTGAAGACGGAGCAAGCGGCTTCTGTGGCTGGCCTACCAGCTGGATGACTGAACGCCCCGGGTGGCTGAGCTGCAGAATGGCTAGCTCTGCATTTTACGATTGTAAAAGCCTCCATGTAATGGGGATAAGAAGCAGGAAGTTGGAAGGAAAAAAGGGTGGAAGAAGGGATGAAAAGGGGGATGGGAAAAGGAATGCTTTCTAAAAGCCATGGCAAAAGGGGAAAAGGCCATGTCAGCTGTTTTCATTTGCATTGTGTGCCATATTGTGATAGCTGAAAAATGTGTTCCTTTGGCCATTCCTTTGGAGAAAATGCATGAATTTAATTTAATGTCAGTGACAGGTGTTTCTATTATTCTTAGGCTTTTCTGTTTTCTTTGCTTTATAATGTAGCTCTAATTGGAATGTAATTAAAGAGAAAAAAGGCATACACGTGTATGCGCACGTGTGGCATCTGACACACTAATAGATAGGCACACAGGCGCCAACTAGTCTCTCCCCTCATGTCCATGACCGTGTCCCTCGGCATGGGCTTGTTACCGTGCAGAGCTGCCTGGCACAAAGCAGCCTGGGCCTACCTCAGGTGGACGAAGCCCCGAATGTTATGGCTAGAAAAAGAGATGTGTCTCGGAGAGCTCCGAGTGCTAACTGGTCTGGTCTGGTCTGGTCTAGTTTGGCAGTGATCGGGCTGTCTAGCATGGCTGGGCTTGGCAGTGTTGGGAATCAGAAGATCACCACCACCTGCCAGCAGCCGGGGTCCTTCCATATGCTCAGTGGTGAATGTCCACGCCAGATTGCATGAGCCATGTCACATCCAGCCTCGGTTTCTATTCGAAGAGCTTCTCTCCCGATAACACCATTAGAAAAGTACAGCCGTGCTTGGAGGATCTCAGAGTGTATAAAGCTTGTTTTTTCTTTTTTGCTACTCTTTCTGTAAGCTAAATATTGGATTCTGGCAGCAGCGACTATTTTGGATGTGTATCTTGTTTACATTTGCCAGCTCAGATATTGTAGTAACATTATGTTGTACCATATCAGTGAATAGGAAGCTGCCGATCCCCCCTTTGACCCCAAATGTCAAACTCGATTTGTCAACTACAGTCATCGCTGTAAGACCCAGTGTGTGTGTGTGCGTGTGTGTGTGTGTGTGTGTGTGTGTTTGTATACCTGTCTGACTGACTGATCTGTGGCACATTCTGAACAGCTGAAGAGCTAATGGTCCAGCTGGAGACAGATGGCCTCTCGATAACACTATACCCCCAAGCCAATACTCACACTCTATCACTCTCCCTCTCATACACACACACACACACACACACACACACACACACACACACACACACACACACTTTCTGCCCCGCTCAGCACATACAACACACACACACACACACACATTGGACAGGATAGATTGTTAATCCATTATAAACCCCGAGGAAACACATTTCTCAATATGAGTTTAATGTTTCACGGCAATTTTGACCAATCTTTCGGCGATATTTGGTGGCAGCTTAAGTTACACGTGAGCACAGAGGGATGAAGGAAGTTAATAACCTCTTTCCCTTTTCCTGTAACTTCCTCATTTCGGTGGCTTCGCACCTTTGTAGGGCGAGCGATAACTAATCTCTGCTTTATATTTGTCTTGTCTCCGCGTGCTGGAAATCTGCTCTGTTTACATGTAATTCAAGATGAAGTGTGCTCACGAATGGAAAGCGTTTCCTTTTGTAGTCCTCCCCTTTACAGTAAGCGACTGTGTAAATTTGCTAGTATTCTATCTTAAATATAGAAAAAGGGTATCTGTCATGACTCTCCGCAGAGAACATGTGTCAGTCCCATGCTTTAGCTCTGAGGTCATTTTGGCTCACAGACTGAGAGGACCTGATGGCGAACGCCTCGCTGTGATGCTTCTGCAGCCTCTGACGAGTTGCTGCTATAACAGTTCTCTGACGATGAGAGGGAAAGAGAGGATGGATATTTCTCTAGAGGCTTTCTTCATTAAGAGTGACAGTACCGTAGTCGCATGCTTTTAGTAAGCACTGTGGCTGCTCCGGTGTGTCTGCAGGCCGCAGACCCATAGAGACCAGCTCTCAGAAATTTCATTACCTCATTAAATCACTCTCAAATCATATCCATATTCAAAGATTTACTCACCGCCAATACAGCAACGCTGAATACGGTTTGCTAAGCAGTCTTCCCCTCAAGCATTTATCACTACCTCAATAATGATTAGGCGCATCCATTCTAAAATGGGGGTTGTTGCTAGTTAACCTCTGTGAACACATTAATTGCTGTGCTAGGGTTTTCAATTTTATTTATTTTTTTCTCTCCCTGGCATCGTTTTAAAGAATATCTGGAAGGCAGCAGCTTGGGATTATAGAGGGAGGCAGGTGTGGATGGTATTGGTTATACAGTCTCCAACATATGGGCCTGTCGTGTCCCATGTGTACATACCTGCCTCCGCTGCTGTCATCTAATTATGCAGAGCAAACACAGCGATCTGCCTGCTGCTGCGAGCCACTCCTGCGAGTTTTGATTGTTACTCATCAGATGGATGTCTTCAACTGATTAAGACATTGTCACAAGTGACCTGTGGAAAATCACCAAAATCTACTTTTATTTGAGTCATTGTTTCGGTCGGTCTGTGTAATTTAATGGTATCTTGTTACTTAAAAGCTAGTAGATCTGCGTCTGCACAGAAACACTGCAGAGTGGGGGACATAAAGCAAGGTGGCTGCATTAATTTGATCTCGTATATACTGCTCGGGCAGGAACGACAACAGGCTCTTTGCATTATCACCTGCAAGCATGTGATACAATTGCTCGTTTTGTTCTGTCAAATAAGCCAATTAAAATTCTTGCAGCTCTGTATATCTTTCACTTTTGCCAGCATGCTAACATTACATAAAGGTGACTCCATTTCATCTTTGATCTTCTTTTTGTTTTAAGTGCTCTCAGAGTTTGGTGGGATTTCTTTACGGCTGTGGTGCTACTCGCCGAGTCTCGGCTTTCACATGTGAACATCAAGCAAGTAATGAGTAAGGAATTGTCCAACTTGACATTGCTAAAACCTTTTATTGAATCTGGAACCAAAACTGAATTATTAATGTTTAAGGCTGGCATCATGAAATGACATTTTGAGCTCTAGGGGGTTAATTGACACTAATTGCGTCTGAGCAGCTTAGAAGAACGTCGGAGTAACTAAAAGAACGAAAACAATGTAATTTAACTTCACACTTACATTTCAAAGAGCTGAAATCTTTTTTCTTTTTTTCCCCCTGCAGGGCTATGTGAGCAGAGTAGCGATCTGAGTCTGTGCGGGCTCGTCGATGCTGCTCTCCCTCCGTCCTCGCCTCCACCTGCCGCAGAGACTTCACAACAGGCCTGCCCAGCGCATCAGAGGACCACTCCTACATCGCCAGCCCTCCCCTTGCCCCTTGGGACTGAGCCCACTCTGGGCCTAACAGTAGCCCCTTCCTCCAATGACCCTCCAACTGTGGTTCCCCATCTTCACCACACGCCCGCTCCCTCATCACTCTCTAGCCCAGCTGTAAGCTCCTGGGCGCCGACAGGAGACAACCAGAAAACGTCCCTTCCATTACCCGTTGCCCTCCCTCTATCAGCGACAATGATGGAGCCTGGCACTGTGTCTGGCCTGACGGAGGAGTGTCTTCTTCAGCCTAACCGAACTTGCCTCGGCTGCTTCATTGAAACGCGTGATGCCACTGACCCTAACGCCATCCAGAACACACCCCACGACCCCACCGCCAACCCTGACACGGAGACTGGTCTAAGTGTAAGGATAGGGGATGTGAGCCGAGAGGACTTCTCTGACATCAACAACATCAGCATTCAGTGCCTGAGCCACGCGGGGGAGGCAGTGAGTCACTATGGAGAACAGCTCCTCTCTGACCAGCTACTTAGCTTTCCTCTGCCAAAAGCCCCAGGTGAGGGCAAGAGAGGGGATGCAAACAAAACAACAGGGGACTGCGATGACCCCGAAGATGATGCAACAGCTAAGAATTTGTATGAAGGACTGTTACTAGACAAGGTTAGTGGAGAAGAAGTTCTCCTGGCTAACGCCAGCCAGGACTGGGGCTACTTTGAGTCTTTTATCAGTGAGAGTAAGATGGAACTGCTGGACCTTTGTTCTAAGAATGAACTGTCGGTCAACCTCTTCTCAGAGGAAGATGTCGACAATCTGTTTGACGATGAAGACGACGATTCAACATTAAGCAGTGATGTCTGTTCGCTCAAGATTCGTTATGAGTCTTTCCAGGACAACATGAGGGAAAAAACAAATGTTCTGCAGGAAGAGACGCAGTTCAACTTCTTCCCCAGTGTCCTGGCCAACTGTGCCAAGAAAGAGGAAGGAGCAGCAGTCTTGAGGAGAACCGCGGAGGATCTTCAGCCCAAAACTGATGAACTGATCCTGGAGGGAGCACAGGAAGGAAAAGCCGGGGACTGCAGTGCTAGGAGTCCACTTGATGGTTCCCACGGCTCGCCTATGTCCACTCCCAAAGTCAGCTACCTAATGGACTTCAATTCCACAGAGGAGTCAGGGGAGTTCAGTGATGACAGCTCCTGCACTGGCTCGTCCTCAGACACCCTGCAGGAGGGAAAGTTTAAAAAGAGCCACTCAAAGAGATTCCTCAGTCCCTCGAACCCTCTCAACTATGGCTTGCGTTCCAAAAGAAAGGTTCGATACAGTGATGATTACTTATATGATGTCGACTCGCTTGAGAGTGAGAAAAATGCGGAGAAAAAGGAGAAAGCCCCTGCTGGTCAGAAAGAAGAGGAGGATGTAGACTGGTGCCCCAAAAAACGCCGGAAATCCTGCCGCAAAGAGCCACCTGTGGTCATCAAGTACATCATCATCAACAGGTTTAAAGGAGAGAGACTCATGTCAGTGAAACTGGGCAAGCTGGACCCTGTGGATGCGACTGTGAGCTTAAATGCCGACACAGTAAGCAAATATGAGACACTGGCTCCTCTGAAGCATTTCTGGCAGGAGAAGCAAAGAGAGAGACAGGAACAGCTTAAGCTGGCTGCCAGAGATAAACAACAACGCGGTTTTCATCTAAACGGACGCCACCATCGCCCTTTTAATTCTAGTCATCCCAAAAGGAAATACAAGATTGCAAACCGGCTTAAGGTTCAGAGGATTCACACTGTGGAGCAATCAGCAACAGCACAGTCCTCCCCTCTCTCTGATCGGGGCCAGGGAGGTGTCACTAAAGAAGAGGCCACCCCCACGGTAGGAGGAATAATAGCAGCCACAGGCCTCCCAGTCACATTAGACACAAACTCCATCACACACACAGTCACAGCCAAGAGCCGCTCCCAGGAGAGGGAAGAGAGGGAGGGGAGGAGATTGGGAGGAAATAAAACAGTCAGGATAAGGAAATTCAAAAGCGAAGCCAGGCTGAGGAGCAAGAAAATAAAAGAGGCAGAAGGAGAGGAGGGGAGGAGTGTGACGAATGAAACGGATGCCTGTGTCACTGCGGCACAGATTGAGGACCCCACTGCTGGGTTAGATGAGGCAGGCATTAGCTCAACTACAGTCAAACCACATTTCTCTGACAATACCGCCACCGCTCAAGCCGCTGAGGAGAAATTCCCCTTTGTTTCATCCACCTGCTCTCCTGACAAAGCTGCCTCCTCCTCAGAGGAGGTGGAGACGGGTGTCCCTGTCATCCCGGGGGGCTACCTGCAGACCCTGTTAGATGCCACAGACTCCTCAGGTGGAGCAGCTATCTCTTATTTCCCCCAGCAGTCCTCTAGGCAGCAGTATTCTCTTGGGCTGTCCCTGGAGGAGAAACAGTTTTCTTCTCTGCAGCTCGCTCAGAGCTGCGTCCTCTCGCCTCCCTCTGAGTCCGAGCTCCAGCAGTCTCCTCAGAACTGCCCCAGCTTCCCCCAGATGTGGCACCCACAGCTCTGTGCAAGTCACAGCCAGAGCTTTGGGTCTGAGACACCCGAGACTCCCATCTTACCCAACAACTTCCCAGCTGCTGTTCCCCTGAATGACAGTCTGCCAGTGTCTAACTACAGCCAGCTGAGCCCTGAGGCTGACAGGCTGCTTTATGAGAAGAGCTACCTGAGTGAGTCTGGGCTGCAGCCCGGGGCAGATCTGCAAGTGTGTCAGTCTGCCTGCATGGAGGGCCAGGTGCAATACCAGCGAGGGTCCCTGTGCACAGACAATGGCAGGCTCATCAGCTATGACTCAGTGGGCTCTCTGTCAGCCTCCTCCAGCAATTACAGCTCACTCAGCCTCAAGTCTTGTGAGCGAGAGGGTGAGGAGGAGGGCCGAGACAGCTTCTTAGCTCATTGCAGTCCTAAAGTGGTGATTCAGCAGAGTGTGGATGCCCTTACCCCACTCAGGGAGTCCTCAGACCTGCTGGATATCTCTAACTTCACCCCTGACAAGTTTAGGCACTCATCACTCTCAGAGCTTTCCCCTCCTGAGACCCCAAATCTGTCCCCTCAGGTTGTTGGGCGTGAGATGAAGATGGCAGGAAATGTTGGAGAATACCAGGATGTGAATGATATAAGCATGGACTGCAATAGGGAGGTAAAGTGGAACTGTGATGTCATACAGCAACAGGAGCGCACGGCAAGCGCATACCCGGTGGAGGACAACCAGTTTCCGCTACACAACTTCAACAATCAAGATGTCTTAGGTTTAGATAAAAAAGAGATGGCAGCTACAGAATTTGATGAACAGAATGGAGCGAAAAGCATAAAGTCAAAAAGGAAAGGCAGCTGCAAACAAACAGCAGGAGGACAGAGCCCGAAAAAGGTCCGGGCTCCAAGAGCCCCCAAGTCAGAGAAGGTCAAGACTCCCAAACAGAACTCTCGCTCCACCAAAAAGATAAAGGCCATGTTAGAGGGTAAAGCAGCAAAGAACCAGGCAGGTGGCACAGGCCTGACTGACAGTAGCAGCACTGGGGACTGGCCTGGCACCGGATGGTCGGAGAGTAACAGCCTGGTGGGGGATGACCAGAGAGAATTTGAGGAGCCCTCCAATATTCTGTCCAACATTGTCTCTGGCATGGCTGAGGTCCAAAGGTTCATGATGGCCTCCATTGAGCCACTGTGGAACCCCATGTCGGAGGCCTGCATGCCCTCTGAGGCCAACAGTCTCAACCTAAAGACCCTCAAAATCTTGGCAGGTACTGAGGCTGACCTGAAGAAAAAAGGAGCTGTGCTCACAGGGGCTGGGAGAGGCAGAAAGGCAGGGGGGAAAGGAGGCAAAAACCAGGCCAAATTCAACCCCTCTCATTCTTTATTCCCTCAACTTGCTCTAGGCTGTAACATGTTTGATAAACCCAACTTTATTAACCCCGGGCCTGCTCACAAAAAGCTGTACCGCCACAAGACGAGTGCAAAGTTCCCTCGGATTGAGACACTGAAGGGGAAGCGAGCTGAGAGAGACCCAAATAAGGACATAGCACTGATGACCTCTTTTGAGAAACTGAGGTAATATTTTGTTATCAGCTGCTGTTGTACCCCCTCCCCTCCCCCTCTCACTTTCCCCCACTACCTGCTCAGCCCTCCCTCCCAAACATACCTACACTGACGCTATGCCAGAGCTGCATGAGTTCTACGTTTCCCCCCTGACTACTCCCACTTCCTTTTAACCCCCTGAAGAGGAAATTAATATCTGCATGAGAAACTTCTTGTACTTTGCAAACTACCTATTGAGTGATTGTGTCAAGCTTGATTGAGATTTGAAACGACCATGGCTGCATTTTTCTTGCTTTTGTTGTTTCTGCTTTGTTTGTTCTTCTTATAGTCGTTTTTTTTTTTTCTTTCCTTTTTTGTTTGATTTTTGTCTGAAAAAGAGAAATAAGCCTTGAAAAAAGTTCTGTCGCCTTTTTGAGGAACTTTGTTTTTGTATTTTCTCAGCAGAACTAGCTTCCCTGAATTACATATTTATTTCCCTTTTCCCTAAAGATGTAGCTATATACATAAATGCATTGAGTGACATCTACGCACCCCTCCTCCTCATCTGTTTTTGTATGCAGAATATGGATGTCCTGTTGTTGCTGTCCGTCATACACTGCCTGGCTCATTTCAAGAGGGAAACCTTCAATAAATGAGCCCAATTTAAGCCCGAGACATCTTAAACACGAGATGGGACCATTTTGTATTGATGACATATCAGACATTGTCTTTCCCCCCCCCCTCAAAGTTGGAATGGCTACCCCTTTCCTTTTGTCAAGTTTTTGTTTTCTTCTTCTGGAGTTTAGAGGAACTGGTTATCTAAATTAACATTTTTACGCCTTGCAAATTCATAAAAGCTCCACCCTCAGAGTATTTTTGTCAATGTTGTTGTACAGGGACATGCAATATTTGCAAAAAAGAAAAAAGAAAAAAAAAGAAAAAAAGATAATTATAATCTTAAAATCATTGTGCCAAAAGTAACAATGCTGTGTAAATGACCTCTTATATATGTGTGAATATTGGCTGTTCCTCTTTTCTATCCATTGGGATATTGGCTGCTCGGGTTGGAGACTCCTTACAGAGACTTGCAACTACAGGAATTCTTTATTTGAGACTTTTCTCTCTCTTCTCTGATGAAAGGCACCAACAGCTGGCAGTGGTACACCACCACTCACTAAACCAAATCAGAAAGACTCTGAATTCTCCTCGTTTCCCCCCACTTTGTTTGCCAAATTCAATTTACCTCAACATCGCCTGGCACTGAGAAGCAACAAAAGAGAGGCAAAGGGGAGATCTGCTCTGAAGGCTACTGTAGAGGAAGGAGATGAAGAAAAAAAAAGAGAGAGAGAGCTGTTCAAATGAGCTTTCTCTGGACCAAGAAGAGTGTAGCGCAGATGTCTGAGGGTAAGCAAGAAGATGATTTGTCATTTGGGGCTGTGCCTCACTGAAAAGCTGTTTGTACTGGAAATTTAAGGCAGTAGAGATTCTGATGCGCACATCAGTCGCGAATGGACATTATTGCAGTCAATGTGAACGTGAAAGCAGTTTTCAGTACAAATAGAAACAGTAATCTTGTAAATGAAGGAAAGCATGTCTTTGCATTCACTCCATGTGGAATTTTTACTTCTATCTTACCTGAAAAAAAAATGGTAATTTAAACAGTAACTTTTCTTGACATTCTCATGTAATTTATTTCATGGCGCTGCCGTATTTCACTCTGATTATTTAGCTCATATTTCCCATAATGTCCATAATGTTTCTTTCTTTTCATTCTACTTCATTTTACATCATTGACTGTCCTGATTCATGGGTCAGAATTCTGGCAGAAAATATTGTGACCAGAAATTTAAGGCTAAATACAGGCACAAATTGAAAAGAAATATATATTATATACATTGCGTCTATCTGATCCAGCGTATTCACAGGCCATTGCTTTTAATTACTTTGGGCTCATTCACTACCTCACAGCTCTGAAATAAACGTCTAGAAAGCCACTTAAAAATGAACCATACAATCACGCTTAATCAGTAATAAAATCGCTTTGATTTTATACACTAAACGAATTTCAGGAGAAATGCAGATCCAATCAAACACTTAGTATATTGTGTAGAAATATGTGAAATTAGTTTCACTGTCTTTTAAACAATGTTATCATTTTTAGCAGTAATTACATGAGACTGCATGGAGATGTACGGACAAACTGATTGACTGATTGATTGATTTTAAAACAGGCCTTGTCACAGTGGATATGGCTGTTCTGACACACAGGTTATATTAATTGATTGCTTGCATACGGCAAGAATCGTAATCAATCTTTCTGTGTCTCTTTTTTCTCTCTCTCTCCTCTCTGCCATGATCCTTTGTTTCTTTTCTATAGTGTATCAGGGTTAGGACCAAGACAAGCTGCTGATGGGAAGCTCCACATGGGCTGCAAGCCCATTTAGTCTGCCTTCTCTCATTTCTGCCTATTGTCAAATTGAATGTACTTCTCTGAGTTCATAAATTTTCTTTCTTTCTTTTTTTTCGGTTTGTTTTTAAAATGTGCCACTGTTGAGCTGCCTCATGTTAATGGTGCTAAGAAAGCTGACAATTGTTTTCTTTTCTTTACCGTTCAGTTTCGATTTCTTTATTTTCATTTTTTGGTATGTTTCATTTCACCAGTGTTAATGAAAAAAAAAGAAATGCAAAATAGATTAGGTTCCTAACCCTCTTTATGAATGTATATTATAATGTTATGTTTGATGTATTCACTTCATGATTCTTTGACACTGATTGGAATTACTTTTGCTCTTTTCATTAAAAGATTACCGAGCTTTATATATACTGTCTAGAGTTGTTACCAGAAGGAATCTTAATGAACTCTTGACACTACAAAATCTTGTATATTTTTTGTGTGCCAATTTGTAACATATTTTGTAAGTGTATATTTTTCTTAGAAAGTGCTGTGAAGTATTCGTGTGTGTGAGTAACCTTTTATGCGCCTCTATGGGCAGTGGAAAGGATATACAATGACAAGTTTCTGGTTTTAAAAACCAAAATATGAAAGTATCAACAGAAAACTAGAAATATTTACATTTTGTTGGGAGTTTTGTAATAAGACCATGATCTTGTTGTGAGAGTGTTGTGTTACTGTGCAAAACACAAATAAGCAAAGAAAAAAAATGAAAACTTGGAAAAAAATATAATTTGTGAACAATTTGCTGTTTTATAGATTTTCATGTAAATTATTTGAGTATTATTTTGTTTTTTTTGTTTTTGTTGTAACTGTTGCAAAGGTTTTAAATATTTGTGATCAAGCCTGTATGGTGATAATGTAATATTGGTAACTTGCTGAGTTTTGTAATAATGTTTATGGAGTAAATATACAAATTAAAATAAGATTTTGAATGCTGCTTTCTGAAGAGAGTTGGGTTGTGTTTTTTACCACCCACTTATTGCTTTTAAAAATGAGCTACATTATATTGGAGTAAATTTGCAATTCTCTGTTAGCTTCTCTAGCTTATCTGCTAGGTTCTACTAGCTTCGCTAGCTACTCTTCACTCCAGTAGGTTATTTAAATCTTATTTTAATTGAAATTAAGATTTTGAATACTGCTTTCTAAAGACAGTTGGGTTGTGTGTGTGTTTTTTTACCACCCACCCATCGCTTTAACCAGGAACTACATCACATTAGAGTAATAAAGTAGTAGTTGTACAAATCTCGATTCTGCTGTTAGCTTCTAACAGCATCTTTAGATTATCTTCACTCTACTAGCTTTTAATTTAATTTAAATAAAATTTAAATGTATAACTTAAAACGGTATTTTTTTGAGAGTTGGGCTGTCTTTTGTTTTGTTTGTTTTTTTACTACTCACCCATTGCTTTCAAAAGGAACTACATCACATTGGAGTAAATTTACAAATCTCTAATAGCTTCTCTCCTGGCTTTTCTAGCTTAGCTTCACTCTAGTAGCTTATTTAAAGCTGATTTGAATATAGTACCCATCCATCGCTTTAACCAGGAACTACTATCACGCTGGAGTACATTTACAAATATTCACTCTACCAGCATATCTGCAAACAGCTTCACTCCATTCAAAACACAATTAGTAAAGGTTATGATGTGGAGTATTGTGGAAAATAAAACTAATATTGCAGACACTACATGAAGATGTCAAGAGTAAAGGCCACGTAGCATTTCTTCAAAGTAAATATTCCACCTTTCCCTGTGATACTACTAAAATAACAGTGATGTGGATAAATCTGATCAATTCCATTCAGTTTGTCCATGCCACAAAACGTGTAAGTGTAAAAACAACCTTAATAATTCCAATTAGTCTTTCCCTGGTTGTTATATTGGACGATTCTTAGACGAAAGTCGTTTTAATTTCTGCACAAGTCTGGCTTTGGCTCATGTTATTTTAATGTCATATCTAATTAGCACTCAGGGTCAGGCATTGCTAGAGTGACTGCTCATCCATAACTCTGAGCTGGGCTGCTGTGGTCCACACTGCAACTCATTCTGGCATGCTTAATTGGAGCTGGAGATACAGTCTGAGACCATAAACAGATCCTGTGATGTATGCCTCCAAAATTGTCAGCTGGTATTAGCATTGTTTTTGTTCTTTAGTCACCCGTAGCAGATAAGGGAGCGAGCAAATTATAAGATGGAATGTCTAATGCAATGGATCAGGTACACCTGTGGTTATTAAATGAGATGCTTGTTGTTTTGTCAGTATGTGCTTATGCTGCATAGACAGCCATAAGCCAGCTTTGTCATTAGGACAACTGTTTTTATCTTTAAAAAAAGAAAATTATAGAGCTATAAAGCAACATTTTAAAGGGATTGACATGTTTTCATAGTTCAGGTTTATTGAGTGTAATCATGGGAACCAAAAAAAACAAAATAATTACGCAACACATTGTTATACATTTTGGCAGATTTGCTGTAAAACAAAGGGAGTTCTTTTAGTAGAAAGCTTTACGGGCTAATCTGATGTGCGGAGTTCATTAAAAATGACACAGTACTTCTGCTGGGTAATCCATTCTCTGTGTTAGAACAATGAAGCTGAAGCCATTTCAGAGGCTTTCAATAGCTGCCCAGTGGGTTTTCTTGATGGTATTTCCAGGTAATTTTCACAAATTTGTGTCTTGTTAGTTTGTGAGCAATTTTTCCCCACGCTGGTTTACAAATTACCTGTAAGCACTACTACCAAACAATCATCACTGGGTTTCTTCTGGTATGCTGTAGCAATAATGCTCCCTCCTGGCCTTAAAAATATATACAGGGACTGATATAAGTCTCTGGTGTTTCTTCCTCACTTCCTCACTTGGGTTGTTTCAGGACTTTAAATGCTTTGACTGTCTTTTAGACCCATTTTTTTTGTTTGTAGTTGGAAGCCATTTGAAGTGGTACTACAAAAGCTTTATTTCATTTATTACAAAACACATCTTCAAAGACACAACAAATGAAGACATGGCTATTACTTAAAGCAAAGAATCAAACTATAGACACTGTAGTTTTGTGGTGTCTTAAATGGTAGGCCACATCAACATAATGGCATAATGAAGTCACCCTACAAGATAATAACTAACTGGTTTGATAAAATGACAGTTTCCTGGCAAAAGGTAGGTAGAGCAAATCTTTCAGCTGATGAGACTATGAGATGAAAAATACTTTATTTATCCCAAAAGACTTTATGCATTTATGTCTTTGGTTACAGCAGTTGAAATTTTGAACTATAAACTTGCATCATTCAGTCCCCACATTATTATTATATTAAATGCATTCTATCTTGTTTTTATGTACAACATTCACAGGGCGTATAATTGTAAAAGATGTAAACAATACGAACTATACTGTATGAAACTAATGTTTCGTAAATTCTCAAATAAGATATTTCTTTTGTCCGCCAAACAGCTAAATCTCATTTGAGAATTTATGCAAAAACACTGAGATTTTTTCTTCTTCATTGTTTTAATGTATTAATTTCTAACTTTCCTAAAAAACAGTTGTATTATGCTGGCCATTTAAAAATTCAAAACTCTACCTAGTATTTTGCATTAGCCACCGCACAGCGACGCTACAGCTCGCCAGCGGAGCCCCCTTGTCAACAAACATCCTTGTTCGTCTTTTTTTTTATCCGAAAATATTTATCGCCCAGATTTCAGTCTCTCAGGAACGCTGCGCCTGTCTCACCCGACCTCCATCGCTACGCCTAAACGCGAGACATTTGCCAGTGCCTGTAAGGAATTACTCGGGGTAAAACCCAAATGTTTCGTCCGTTTCCGGAAAATCATTTTAGGCTTCCTACAAGAAAGAAAATGGAATCTGGCAGTCGCACTTAGCTAAACAGTGTATCGTTTCTGGGCGAATATTAAAAGGGCAGCTGGGTTGTACGATAACGCTGCCGTTAACATCGCCAAGCAGGTAATTATTAGTGGTTTGGGGACAGATGGTGTATCCGTTCTAATTAACTTTACTCTCTTTAGCTAGCTAATTTTAGCTGGATCGCTTTGGTTAGGTTATGGCTATTAACGTCACTGGTTGACGTTGTTAGCTTGCGGTGATACTAATGGTAGTTCAATGCATTTTTAATGAAACCGTGATGTTTATAGTCAGTGTCCAGTAACGGTAAACAAGAATAATATCAAGTTCAAAAGACGATTCCAGCTTCAGCTTTGTTTTGCCTCATATATTCACATGGGGCTGATGTAAAAGCGAGCACTAGCACAAAGTTAAAAGCTAATGTTGAATAAGACGTTTGTAACGCTTCTAACTCGGCTAGTTGACGTGGAAGCTAACTAGTGTTAGCGCAGCATAACCGGGATTGCTTTGTCATTGAATGATCTTGTTTGGATGATGTTGCAGTCACTACACAGTGAGTTTCTTGTTGTTTGATTTACAGGTCATTAGCCACACGATGGGACCTCTTTTATGGCTGAAAATGATGGAAGTAGCCGGCGTTAGCACCTATGTAGCATGCTAATTGGTCGCTAGCCAGCGTAAGCTAAGCTAGATGATGCCATTTTGTTTTTATCTCGACTTTGACTTTGAGCAACATATGGCTTCATCGTACGACTTACAGCCACATAGATCATTATATTATTTGAATTATTTATACGACTTTAAAATACATGTGACATTTTCGAGGAAATCGTATTTTGCGTTTCGATATGGGCTCAACTTACAAGTGTGGCTCAATGTTATGCTTTGAAGACGTTACCGGTGCTAACATTTGCTAATGTGTCGTTATTCTTATTTGATGCTGCGTGGTGCCTGGTTATGCCTAATTTTGATGCCCAGTTGCCTCTCTTCTTAACTGTCATCACTACAATAACTGCTATACTTTGTGAAAATGCTTGATGTATCAAATAATACATTTCATGAGTGGTTGGTAATGAATCCCAGTTGCAGGAGGGCATGCTCATGTCTTTTAGATCAGCACCTAATCCTTTGTTTACTTTTTTCTGAAGCAACTGGATCTTGCTGAATATTGGATCATCTCTAGTCCGCCCTCCCTTCTGAACCAATGGAGGGGTCTGACAGCGTGGAACAGAATGGCAGTGAACTGCCAGAGTCACAGCGCAGGAGGCAGCTGGACCGCCTGGACAGGGAGGAGGCCTTTTACCAGTTCGTCAACAATCTCAGTGATGAAGACTACCGTCTCATGAGAGACAACAACCTTTTGGGCACTCCAGGTAGTAAATCTTTAACCTGTCTATTCTTTAGTCTTGTTAAAACCTCCCAATTAAAGTATTAATGATTTACACAAGTAAAGAGTACTTTTTCTTTTCTGCGCTCCCTTTCTATGTTCTCTGCTGAACTCGCACCTCTCTTTAAAAGTTTTCAGCTGTTTAACTGGGAGGAAGGTAGGAATATGCTATTGATATGAAGAAAGTTAAATAATTTCACACACAAGGCACCTTGATTGAGCAGTAAGCATTGAAGATCACACTCACAGTGCAGTATTTTTCACATACAGGCTTTCTTTTTGTTTTTTGTTTTCAAACCCAGATTTCTTGGTGGATAAATCTCTTGGCCGTTTGTGGAAAGTAGAGTTAGTTTATCTTTGAACAATCTTTTGTAGTAATTGTAGTTGGAATGTGTTTTGTTTTGGG